GGAGACCGGGAATGGCACCGGGAATCGGGGGAGACCGGGAACGGGAACCCGGAACGGCACCGAGAACCGGGAAGGGCAACGGGAACTGGGAACGGGACACTGGGGGAGACCGGGACCGGGAACAGCACCGGGAACTGCAGAAAACCGGGACTGGGAACTGGGAAGGGCACCGGGGCAACTAGCGGGGGACCGGGAGAGCAGGAAAACCGGGACCGGGAGAACCGAGAACGGCACCGGGGCAGGTACCGGGAGAACCGGGCCGGGGATTACCTGCCGGGCCTTTGGGAACACCGGGGCCCCGGGACGGTCCGCGACGCCTCCCAGGCTTCATTCATTAGCACAGAGTAATTAATCGAGGCGCTCCTGCCACGCTTCCCAGCACATCCTTCCTCCAGAGCTTAACCCCGAGCGTCCCGGCTCGGAGAACCCGTCCCTGTGCTCTGGGTCCTGGAGCCGTGTCCCCACGGGCCAGCCCGGGCTGTCCTTGTCCCCTCCAGGCCCCCTGATCCGAGAGAACTGCCAGAGTCCACAGCACCGAAGGGTCTGAAATCGCCCCCAGCTCTTTATATGATGTGACACAAGCACAAATAAATGAACACGGTGAGAGAACACGCAGGGATCCCCCCAGCACCCAACCAGCCTCCCCCAGAGCCACCAGCCCCGCACTGCCCTCGCTGGGGTCACCTCCTCGTGCCGTCCCAGCCCAGCCCGCACCCCGGTTTGCACAGGAAGCCCCGAGGAGGGGCGAGAGCAGCAGGGATGCTCCTCTGGGGTGGTGGCACTCGGAGCACTGGGGCTGCCCTGTGAGGGCACTGCTGGGCACTGTGGGGACGGGGCTGAGCTGTGTCCCGGCATGCTGGGGGGATGTCCCTGGGAAAGGGCCTGGCTTCCCCAGGAACAGCGGGGCCCTGGGGGGCACCTGGGCTCAGGGAAACGGGGCCGAAAAAGGGAGTTCTGGGGCCCTGACCCCGGAGCAGGTCTGGCCGTGTCAGGGTGTGCCCGGCCACTGTCACCGGCAGCCAGTTCCTGTTTTGTCCCCAGAGCATGGAAACCCCCTGACTTTCCAAGGGCGGGTTCCCGGCGGGCAGGGCCGGCCCGAGCCAAACCCCGGCACCGTCTCCATGACAGCCCCGCGCCCTCTGCCCTTTGCCCTTCGCCTCCCGCCACCGAGCGCTGACGGACAGCCTCTGTGACCAATCACAGCGCACCGCCGCTGCGAGCCCCGCCTCCCGTGGTGACAGACATCTCTTGCAACCTATCACAGTGCCCTACCGCCACAAGCCCCGCCTATAATAGTGACAGACAGCCCTCTCGGCCCATGACAGCGCTCCGGCACCCGGTTGGCCACGTAACGAGCCAACCGGAAGAGCAATCTCGCCGTCGGCCCCGCCCCATCCCGCTGAGGTCTCGGCCAATCAGCGCTCGAGCACGCCGGGGCGGGGCGGGCGGGGCGGCCAATGGGGGCGCGCGGTGGGGCGGCGCCAGGCGCGCGGGGCGGGGGGGCGGCGGGGGCGGGCGGGGGCAAGATGGCGGCGGCGGCGGCGCGCGCGCGGCGGGGCGGGCGGTAACGGGGCGGTAACGGCGCGGGGGGACCGCGGCAGGGCCCGGGACAGGGCGGGGGCGGCGGCCGAGGGGCGGCCCCTCAGCCCTGCGGAGAGGGGGGGCGCAGGCGCGGCGGGGCGGGGCGGAGCGCGGCGCCGGGGCCCGGCCCGGTTCGCCGGCCCGGCGGCGGGGAGGGGGGACTCAGCCGCCCGCCCCCCTCCCCCGACTCACCGTCCGGGGCGGCGGCAGCGGCCGGGGCCTTCCGCAGCGGGAGGGGTCCGGAGGTCCCCGAGCCCCTCCCGGCCCCGATTCGGTCGCACCAAAAGTGTCCCGGCCCCGTCTCCCCTCACCGCCCTCCCGGTGTGTCCCCCCGACCCGCTGGGCCCTGTGGGAGGGACCTCCCGGGCCATCACCCCCCTGACCCCCGCGAGGGACCGGGCAGGGGGTCCCCCGGCCCCCGGGCGGGTTCGTTGTCCGGCACCGCTGACCCCCGGCAGAGGCGGTGACACATCATGTGCCAGGCGCAATCCCGGTGGATGAAGGATGCCCCCGGGAGCTCTCGGTAGGCACCGAAGGCCTCAAACTTTTGTAGGCGAAAGCGAAGACGTGAGAATTGTCTGGGAAAGCTCCTTCAAGGAAACTTGGTTCCAGCTCCCCAACGGCTGAAACACCCCCAGCCCCTGCTCCCGGGACACTCCTCCCTCAGCCCGGCCGGGAACGATGAGCTGCTAGGGATGGAAAGCCACGAGAGGGACTGGGAGCTGGGCTGGTTCCACGGGGTGGCCTGACGGCCCGAGGATGACCTAACTGGGCCCAGTCCAGGCCAGGTGACTGGGAAGAGCCCCGGCAGCGGGACCGGGCCGGAGGCAAAGCGAGTCCCAAACTGAGCGTGTCCCTTCACACATTTATGTTCTTTTTCAAAGACGTTCTGGAGCCAGGCCGG